TGAGTTGGCACTCTCAGTTGGGTTCCACCAGAACCGCATTGTCACAGAGGTGTACTATTTTTTCCCACCGGGTCATAAGATAGATGATGCTCAATGGTAGCTATTCAATATTTCTTTTTGTTCTCACCATTCTATCCCTGCCTCTCCAATGCTAAACAATTCACTTAAACCAAACGCTTCATAGGTGGTCACTGATTGTGTTCCTGCAGTTTCTGGATATTCACCTTTAGATATCTGGGGCCATATTTGCCATAGTGCTGAATACTCATTGGGACAACTGAAGTCAATTGGAGCTATGCACTAAAACATATAAAGTACTATAAAATGCTAAGTACTCTTAAAAAAAAAAATCAGGTCCTAGGTTTCTCAAATTGGGCACCCCAAATTAGTTGACACTTGACAATTTTGCCCTTGACCTCTGTGTTTCAGATCCTCCTCTGTAAATGGGGATAACACCACCATCTTACTTCACAAGGGTGTAGTAAAGATAAATTTTTTAAAGTTTGTGAACTACTCATACTATGGTAAGTGCTATAAGAAAAGCCCAGGAGGAAGTTAACAATTCTGTATTCAGTGCAGTGTTTCAACAGAGTGTAGTAAATAAGGCCCTAGCCACACACTGAATGGTGAGGGTACAAAAAAATATTGAACAGCTACCCATTCAGTGAGCACCATCCATCGTGTCCACTGAATAAAAAGGTCCTACAGGAAAAAGTAATATGTGATCATGTAATTAAAGACTATATCAGGGGTAGGCAACCTATGGCACGCGTGCTGAAGGCGGCACTGAAGCTGATTTTCAGTCGCACTCACACTGCCCGGGTCCTGGCCACCAGTCCGAGGGGGCTCTGCATTTTAATTTAATTTTAAATGAAGCTTCTTAAACATTTTAAAAGCCTTATTTACTTTACATACAACAATAGTTTAGTTACAAATTATAGACTTATAGAAAGAGACCTTCTAAAAATGTTAAAATTTATTACTGGCACGTGGAACCTTAAATTAGAGTGAATAAATGAAGACTCGGCACATCACTTCTGAAAGGTTGCCAACCCCTGGACTATATCATAATGCTCATGCACAAGGAGAATGACTTAAGATTCCACCTTAATACTGGCATTTCCTAATTTTGAGTGCTTTATTTTGCATGTTTACTGTTCTTTTAATATAGTTCTTTTGTAGATAATAAAAAGCAACCTGAAAAAACAAATTCTATTAAGAACTACCATATTGACCCCTGAATGGGTCATGGGCAGGGTTGGAACCTTTACATTCACAGCACAAACCTCTACTACGTAAGCTAACAGAGTAACTGGTAATGGTAATAGGTTGTTACTAGGGCTGTCAATTAATCACAGTTAACTCACATGATTAACTCAAAAAAATTAATCATGATTAAAAAAATTAATCGTGATTAATTGTAGTTTTAATTGCACTGTTAAACAACAGAATACCAGTTGAAATTTATAAAATATTTTTGGATGTTTTTCTACATTTTCAAATATATTTATTCCAATTACAATGCAGACTACAAAGTGTACACTGCTCACTTTATATTATTATTACAAATATTTGCACTGTAAAAATGATAAAAAAAGAAACAGTATTTTTCAATACAAGTACAGTAACTCTTCACTTAACGTTGTAATTATGTTCCTGAAAAATGCGACTTTAAGCGAAACGATGTTAAGCAAATCCAATTTCTCCATAAGAATTAATGTAAATAGGTAAGGTTAGGTTCCAGGGAAATTTTTTTCACCAGACAAAAGACTGTGTGTGTGTGTATACATATACATACATATACACACACATATATATATACACATGTATGTATGTATATATACACACACACACACACTATAAGTTTTAAACAAACAATTTAATACTGTACACATCAATGATGATTGTGAAGCTTGGTTGAGGTGGTGAAGTCAGAGGGTGGAAGAGGGTGGGATATTTCCCAGGGAATGCCTTACTGCTAAATGATGAACTAGCACTCGGCTGAGCCCTCAAGGGTTAACACATTGTTCTTAATGTAGCCTCATGCTCTACAAGGCAGCACAAATGGAAGGAGGGAAGACAGCATGGCAGACAGAGATACACACTCTATGTGTGAGAGAGAGAGAGAGAGATGTGCATTGCCCCTTTAAGTACGCTGACCCCACTCTAAGTACATTGCCTTTTTAAGTAAATCAGCAAGTTGAGACAGCAGCTGCTGTCAGCAAGCTCCCTCTGTCCTGAGCCCTGTCGTGTCCCTCTCTGCTCTATGGAGATGGGATAAGTGGGGGGCAGGAGCAGGGTGGAGGAGACACCCTGACACTAGCCTCCCTCTCCCCCCCACACTTGTGAAAGTGCAACTTATAGATGTTTTTGTTACATAACTGCACTCAAAAACAAAACAATGCAAAACTTTAGAGCCTACAAGTCCACTCAGTCTTACTTCTTGTTAAACCAATCGATAAGACAAACAAGTTTGTTTACATCTAGAGGATATAATACTGCCCTCTTATTATTTACAATGTCACCAGAAAGTGAGAACAGGCATTCACATGGGACTTTTGTAGCCAGCATTGCAAGGTATTTATGCTGAACATTCGTATGCCCCTTCATGCTTCAGCCACCATTCCAGAGGGCATGCTGATGATGCTAGTTAAAAAAATGTGTTAATTACATTTGTGACTGAACTCCTTGGGGGAGAATTGTATGTCTCCAACTCGATTTGTACTGGCATTCTGCCATATATTTCATGTTATAGTAGTCTCGGATGATGACTCAGCACATGTTCGTTTTAAGAACATTTTTGCTGCAGATTTGACAAAATGCAAAAAAGGTACCAATGTGAGATTTCTAAAGATAGCTACAGCACTCGACCCAAGATTTAAGAATCTGAAGTGTCTTCCAAAATCTGAGAGGGATGAGGTGTGGATCAGCTTTCAGAAGTCTTAAAAGAGCAACATTCTGATGTGGAAACTACAGTACCCAAACCACCAAAAAAAGAAAATCAACCTTCTGCTGGTGGCATCTGACTCAGATGATGAAAATGAACATCCGTCAGTCCGCACTGCTTTGGATTGTTATCGAGCAGAACCTGTCATCAGCATGGACACATGTCCTCTGGAATGGTGGTTGAAGCATGAAGGGGCATATGAATTGTTAGCACATCTAGCACGTACATATCTTGTGATGCCGGCTACAACAGTGCCATGAGAACATTTGTTCTCACTTTCAGGTGACATTGTGAACAAGAATTGGGCAGCATTATCTCCTGAAAATGTAAACTAACTTGCCTGTCTGAGTGATTGACTGAACAAGAAATAGGACTGAGTGGACTTGTAGGCTCTAAAGTTTTACATTGTTTTATTTTTGAATTCAGTTATTTTTTGTACATAATTCTACATTTGTAAGTTCAACTTTCGTAATAAAGAGATTGCACTACAGTACTTGTATTAGGTGAATTGAAACATGGTATTTTTTGTTTTTATAGTGCAAATATTTCATGAAATACACATCACACTTATTTTTACTATATAATTATAAAATAAATCAATTGGAATATATCTGATATCAACTCAATTGAGTGACAAGGGCTATTGAATGGAACTCCTTCCAGGGTTTCATGAAATACATGTAATGTATTGTATTCATTTCATGAAATGTAAACACTGAATCTAATACAAAGTATATACAAAATGCAACTGTTTAAATTGGTTTGAATTGATTCCAAATTGTGAGATTGAACTATTGAGTCTATTTGACTACATTTGTGATGAACTTAGTGCAATGTGTCTTAGTTTCTAGCCTTTGCAGATTCAGTTATGAAATAATTTGAAAAATAAGTTTAGTAGAATACTTTGTGCACACATAAATTGCCTCACTTTATTACAGCAGACCGAATATCTTTAGTCCATATATTTTTTTTAAATGGGAAAATTCCCATTTAAAAAAATCATTTCATTTTGCTCTTTTATTGATAATGTAGTAGCTATCTTGAATGCAAATTAATATATGACAAAACAAATTTTAAAACTGAATATGGTATTTTGAAAAAAATGCTTTTTAATATGGTTTGTAACGTGTGTATATAATAAATGTCTAACATCTGACTAGTATCTGCCTTTATCATGCAAATGACTAAACAAGAAGTCCTCAAACTTACCTGTTTGACTTCTGTAATAACCAAAGCAACTCAGATGTTGACTGTCGTACCAAAGCTGCTCTAACAGGGAATGTTACAGGCTGAGTAAGTGCGTCACATATGTGAGCCATCTCTTTCACCATTGCCCAACTGTATCCTATTGGAAAGATCATTTGATGCAGTATTAAGAAACTCTCCATTCTGTCAGAATATAAAGGTATCATGATTTATAAAATAGTTAGTTCCACACTGTTCCATACTGTCGACATGTGGATTTTGTGAAAATCTACTATTTCTAAAAATGAAATTGAACAAAAAAAGACTATGAACAAAAATGAAACTGACTACTCATTTTCACTGTCCAAGTTCAGAAAAATGCCAGAAGTAAATACCAGCATAAACAGTGAAAAATAAATTATATTTGTAAATTCTGTGTTTCAGTTACTTAAGTGTTATTTGTAATATTGTCAAATAAATATTAGTTATGAGGAAATCCTGGCCCCACTGAAGTAACTGGGAATTCTGCCATTGACTTCAATGGAGACATGATTTTTAACATGACAGTGACCCTTTAAAATAAAAAAATCTTTGAAAGAATAAGAAAAAAAGGTAATTCTAAAATTATTTCAGAAAGAATACAAGAAAGAACCGACATTTTAAGTTATACAGAAATGAGGTGGCTAAAAATATTTTAGTTAGGGGCTTGGAGAAAATATGTTTAAAAGCAAGCAATTTAACACAGTTTAAAAATTGCTTGCTTTTAACATCTATTTTTGCAAGCTTCGAAGCTAGTAAAAAAAATTTATTTGTTCTTTAATTTAATGGAAAGTGTCAGGTAACCTTAACTACAGGCATTGCTATCTGTGCCACCTATAACATCACAGTGATAAAAACACTAGTGGCCAGCAGCATCTTGTCTACACCAGTGCTCCCACTGTTGCTGTCACTGGTGAAGCTGCACCAGTGTTAGAGAAGTGCAAACTTTTGGGGGAAAAGATTAAGGTAGGCCCAGCCTTTACGTAGAACTGTGATTTAATGAGCAGGTAATAACCAGCTCAAATATCCAGTTACAATAAGTGCAGTTACACTGTGTCCATACAATCACATTTTGCACAACAGTCAAGCATCAAATGTATTTGTACATTCACACTTATCACACTGTTTTCCTCTGTGTGTATGAAAGCACTCTGGAGAAAAAAAACTGGGCTGATATCACATAGTGCCCCAGCCAGGAATTAAATGCCCAGGCAACTTTATCCACAGAGTACCAACATCACCACTTGGGGCAATGCACTCTGGGATGTTGTATTGCAGAGAGAGGTGGGAGAAAGAAGGACCAGACAGCCCTGTTACCGAAACATGATTAGCTGCTCCTGCCTAAAACAACACAACAGTGTTACAACCTGATTACAGGAAGACAAAAACACACCTAGGCTGCCAGCAAGGGCAATACATAGTTAACTGTCACCTTATCTTACTCTAACATTCCTCTTACTTACATACTATGCCAGCCTCTTCTGAAAACAAAGTTACATGAAAAATCTCCTCAAAAGCAGAAACAATTAGTTAGAATCTGTGTGTCCAGTACTAGTTATGTTGTACCAACCGCCTGTACCTGTGTGAAGTTTTAAACTAGCAAGTGTCAGAATGAGTGCCTTTGGCTGCTAAGTATTGTTTTTGCTGTCTTTTACAAGTGCACATATCATAAGCCTTCCATTTCCAATTCTCAGCTTTGATGTGAAAATGTAACGGTTGCAATCACAGAAGATCAGCTGCTTTTTTATATTATAAAATGAGGTAAGAGTGAAACAAAAGCTCCTGTCTGAGTAATACCAGTATGCATAAAATGAAGTGAACTATAATTAAATATTTAAACCCATATTACACTTTCTTGGATAGTCAAATTTGTTTTCATTTTTTAAAATTTCACTTTTTAAAAATTCATGGATAATCAGCATGCAGAAGTGAATATGGCCTGATTTACAAAACCCTTGCAAAGAATTCAGCTTCACAATTTAAAAAAAATACACTAAGACATATTAAGGATCTTGTTTGAACTAACAAACTGTCTTGAACCATCTCATTGTTCCTAATTATTGCAGAAGTCTGAACAAGGATTAATTTAATAGAACATTCATACTAAGGGCCTGATCTTGCAGTAATTAAGTGGAAGTTTTGCCCAAGATGGGACTGAAATATTGACAGCTGGAAGTACTGACAGCAGCACTGGAAAAGCCTTGATACCCTAAGGAACAGGTTAAAAAAATAAATACACCTCTATCCCGATATAACGCGGCCCGATATAACATGAATTCGGATATAACGCGGTAAAGTAGCGCTCCGGGGGGTCGGGGCTGCGCACTCCAGCGGATCAAAGCAAGTTCAATATAACACGGTTTCACCTATAACGCAGTAAGATTTTTTGGCTCCCAAGGACAGCGTTATATCGGGGTAGAGGTGTACAGTTAACTTCAGTAACAGAAATATAGTAGATCTATACATGTTCATAAACCCTATTTTCCAATTCTATACTAGGTTGCAAAATGACAAATTTAATAACATTATTGTCTTTTAGTCTATTTTATTTATACTAATTACAGTTTTTAAAAACTGACAGATGTATGCAAAAGAAATTGCATCTATGTTATTGAGGCAAATGTGGAGGCAACTTCAAGCCTTGCAGTGTGTAAATCTTCCATTTTTACCTTTATTGCATTGTTGAGGCTGCCACCCAGTTGTCCAGCCCAACGATAAGGTCACATCCGGGCAGAATGAAGTTACAGTGTCTAGAAATCTTTTTGCATCCATGACAGTGTTACTTCCATTAGGTCCAGGGAGAATGTCTGCATTAATCCAGACAGGTCGCCTCAGATGCAACTTTATGCCTTCAAGAAGCATCATAGAGGGCTTCACCGCTGCTAGACTATAAAGATAAACACACTATCAGCAAGACAACAGATTCCTAGTGATATGATGAGAAAAAATACAATACACACACACACACACACACTCTATTGAAACTGTTTCTACAAGCTGGGGCTAGTTCAGGCCAGGGCCGGCTTTAAGCCGATTCGCCTGATTCCCCAGAATCGGGCCCCGCGCCTTAGGCGCCTTTTTAATTTTTTTTAAATTTAATTTTTTTTTAAATTTAAATCTTCGGTGGCCCCGCACCCCTGGCCAGAGCGCCGGCCGGAGCGCAGCAAGCCCCGCGGCCCCCCCGCTCTTGTGGCTGGAGCTCCAGCCAGAGCGCGACAGCCCCGCGGCCCCCGGCGGGAGCGCGGCAAGCCCCGTGGCCCTGCTCTCGCAGCTGGAGCTCCGGCCGGAACACGGCAGCCCCGTTGCCCCACAACCCCAGCCAGAGCACGGCTGCCCCATGGCCCCGGGACCCCGGCCGGAGCGCCGCAAGGCCCACAGCCCTGCTCTCTCAGCTGGAGCTCCGGCCGGAGCGCGGCAGCCCCACAGCCCCGCGACCCCCCGCCCCCGGCCGGCAATCCGAAGCGCCGCCAAAGACTGGGAGCGCCGCCCGGTGAGTACAAGTCCCAGGAATTGGGCTCCGCACTTGCTAAAGCCAGCCCTGGTTCAGGCAATGCTGTTAATCAGCTGCTGGGGACCCCCTGTTTATGAGGCCCCATCCCAATCCTATCCAGCTTACAAAGCTCATGTGGGTAAAGTTTATGCCTCACTGTTGCATGGTATGGAGTATGGAATGCTTCATGCTCACTGAGAGATCTGGGGTGAGTTGCCTCATAAATCAAGATGTCTTCCTCTTCTTTTCATTGTGCCCTGGTTGAGATTCCCACCTTCTCCTGTTTAATAGGACACCTCCATCTACTATTTCTCTGTCTAACTCGCAAACATGTATACCTACTGTCTTCCTTTCCCCACTTGGCATATTTAAGACAGATGGATGAGAAATGTCACACGCAATCTTGGGTACTGCATCTAAAGGATCTATTTGCTTTGCTTTGCAGGGGCTCCAAATGTCCCTGAACTAACACTGCTACAAGCTACTGAATCCAAAAGATAAATATCAGGCATCTCAGAATATACTTTAAAAGCTTGCAGATTTCCCTAGACAAAAGGAAATAATTTTTTTCTCCCCAGAAACACTTCATAGGTGGAGCTTCTGCCTGCCTCTTCCTGTTCTTACCTTAATATTCCAAGCTCTTGGAATTAAGCGGCACATAAGACCCAAACTGATATTATTTGTATTATCGTAGTGCCTAGGAGCCCTACTCATGGACCAGCACCCCATTGTGCCACCACAATGCCAGCGTCCAAAACCAGCATAAAAAGTGGGATTATATGGTCAATCATGCTGATGGAGCGGATTAAAAAGAGAACCAACAGGAGTAATATGCAAACGTTTTCTGTATATATACACTGTACAGATCTCTAATACTGGAACAGCTTTATTACTCCTGGGGGAATTCTGCATCACTGCACATGTGCAGAATTCATGGCCCCCGCAGATTTCTTTGCTTAACCGCAGAAAAATGACTTCTGATGGAGAAGCAAAGGGAAGCTGCAAAACCCGTCATGCACCCACTCCCTGGCAGTCCAGACAGGTTGGTTTGGGCACCCAGAGCAGCCGGTAGAGATGTAAATCACCAGCGGGGCGGGGCTGGGTAGTCATGTGAGAGAGAGAGAGAGAGAGAGAGAGAGACACACACACACACACACACTCTGTCCCTCTCACTCGCTATTGCAGCACTCTTGGCATGGAGGGGCAGGACTTTGGGGTATTTCTGAAGAGGTAAGTGTGGGGCAGGCTCTGTTCCCTCAGGCAGAGGAGAATGTAGCAGCCTGCCTGCTTAGTGAATTGTTCCCATTGTTTTTAGTGAACCCTCCAGGAGTATAAAACAGGTGAGAAATGTTAAGGCTCCTTTACATTGCCAGAGTGGTATAAAGGAGCCTTATTGTAAAGAACAGTATGGCCTTATAAATGCTTATGGTGCTTTAGTGATTAGAACTGGTCAAAATTTTTCGACTGAAAAATTTTCCTATCAAAATGTGCTCCGTGAACTATTTGCTACTGACCTTCCTGGAGATGGTCAGTAGCCAGTATAAATTGTGAATTTGAGTCACCAGCCTTCACCTGTTCTTCCCTTGCCTATGATGTAACACTTAAGCATGTGACTGCATATATTTGTTGACTAATAATTAGGGAAATAAAGTGTCAATACTAGCTATATTACTATTAGACAGAGGGGGTTTGGGGATTTCCTCCGATGCTCCCCACTCCCATTCTCCATCCACTGTATTGTAGTTTAAATTACCAAGATAATTGAAACCAGCTGGATTATATCACATTTTTTTGACAAAAATATGCAAAATTTTGCAGAATTTTAAAATATTGTGTGCAGAATTTTTATTTTTTTGGTGCAGAATTCCCCCAGGAGTACTTTTTCCAAAGAGCTACTGTCTAAAAGAGCAGCTTCTTTCATGTTACTCTCCTGGCGGTGCTTCTACTACATGATTGTATTTTTTAAATGTTTTTATACTGCAACATTATTTTAAAACCTTTTTGTAAAACATTGCATTTGGCTGAAAACTTGTCTTGGCTTGGAAAAAGAAGAGTGAATTGAAAATGAGTTTTAACAATATATATTTTTTAGAAAACTACTACACTTTCCCCTTCCTTCTCCGTTTCTGGCTGACACCTACAGAGTCTATAACAATAAAAGACTTTAGCCTACCCATGTATTCTGTATTTTCATAAACACATAAAATCTGTAAATGTCAAGGTATAGTTCTATTATTAAGGACAAAAGATATAAACAGCAATTTACAACTGTCCTTCAAGTTTTGCATTGCTATTGCACATTTGATCATGCCCTTCAAAATGTGGGGGTGGAATCGCCATATAGATTGTAAAAACAGCTACTGTGCATGCATATTAAGGCACAAGTGTCTGGAATTTTCCATCAGAAAATTATTCCAATGGAAAATTTCCAGCCAGCTCTACTGATTATTACTCCCATTTTTTCCCAGTGCTGGACGGGTTTTCGCCTTTGCTTGCATGTTAGTTGAGCTGACACTTAGAAGAGCTATGTCAGCTCTATATCTTCTAATGTACTTTTGTTGAACCATGCAATGCCTGTGTTCTATCCATCTACCCTTTTCCTCATAATGAAATCAATACGAATACCAAACAGGAGAGGTGAAAGAATGACATCACTTTCTATGTCGTGATATTTGCTCAAGCCAGTCTTTATTTTAACTGTGCTTGTTGCCCCTTGCTATAAAGCCATGATGATGTGATATGCCAAAAAATTAACAACACTTCAAGATGCGTCAGCCAACCAGGACCAGGGCAGTCTAGCCTAGTGGTCAGAGCGGGCATCAGGAACCAAGTACTAGAGTCAGAGCTGTAGGTGGAAGCTGGAGACAAGGGTCAAACTGGAGGCCAGAGCCAAGGGTCAATCTGGAGTTGGTAATCAGAAGCCAAAGCCACAGGTCAAGCCGGAAGTCAGGAACTGGAGCTAGCAGAATAGCAGGCAAGGAAGGGTTCAAGGCAGCGGTAGGACAGAGGCAAGGCTGGGGCAGCAGGAACAAGGTAACACAGGAGCAGGTACAGTGATGTGCATGAGCACTGAGCAGCCAGCAAACTCCTGCTGGCTTAAAAGCAGGTGTGATGCTCTGTACCTCGGGGGAACACCCTACACCCTCATGTTCATCTTTATAAAATGATTGTGTGGTATCCAATGCAAAGTTTGTCATGTTGAGTGTCTTCGGAAGGCTCATGATGCACTGAGCATGGTTGTTATAGTGATGTTATAGTAATTGTTACAGTAATGTTATAATTTCATGTATATAGTTATGAGGCTGAAAATGTATCCTCGTGGCTTAAAACAAGCCCATGCAAAAACTCTCTAACAGAGAGGCAGTTCACGCCTCATTGGGGAATGCATGGGACAAACCCAGCCCAGCCTCACAGGAACAAAGGACACTGGTTTAGGCAGCAACACAAGAAACTGTTGGACTCTCAAGGGAGTACCCCCCTTCCTCTGGTCAGTTTGGAACTGCGATGAGGTAATGCTCACCTGACTCGGCAGGGGGGCAAAGCCAACAGGGAAGAAAGGACATGATAAAAGGGAGAGACATTTGCTATGCTCTCTCTGTCTTTTATCAAAGGAAGGGGGTGACTCCCTCGAGAGTCCAACAGATTCTTTTGTTGCTCCAATCAGGCAATCTGGTGCAGGCCACATATACTGATAAGGCTGCCTGGAGATTAGCTCTGCTGCAGGCCATAATTTCTGACAATATGTTCCAGAGTTAATCACAATAGAAACTGTCAAATGCTTTCTTAAAATCTATGCAGTTTATGATGAGTGGTTTTTGCCATTCGATACTCTCTTCAATTAATCTAGGGTGAAAATCTGGACTACACGTGATCTTCTGGATCAAAATCCACCCTGCTTTTCCCTTAGCTGTTTCCTTTAGTACTCTTGGGGGAATTCTGCGCCACAGCACATGCGCAGAATTCATGCCATGCACATAATTTTTTTTTCTACGCAGAAAATACATTCTGCCAGAGAGGTGCTGCAGTTATGTCTTTTGCCCATCAGAGGCTGCTGTGGTACCAGAACAGAGAGCAGCTGCTCCCAGGCCAGAGCAGCTGCTCCCGGGCCAGAGCAGCCTCAGCTGCAGATCGGAAAGAGAAGAGGTTGTGTTCCTCACAGCGCCCTGCTTGGGGACCAGGTCAGGAGGCCTGGGATATGGGAGGATGGACAGCATGGGGTACATGGGGCTGCTGGGGGGGAGGGGTCACAGACTGGGGGTTAGAAGGGCTAGTGGGGGAGACAGACTGGGGCAAGGACTGAATGGAAGTGAGGGTGCAGGAACACAGGGGGACGGGGGCAAATGTGCCTTACTGAATGAGAGAGGCTAGGGGTCAGCCAGGATCTGCATGGGGGAGGC